CATATTGTCCTACCTAAACCTGGTAGTCGTGAATTCGTGATCACTTAATGAGAGCTGATATTTTCATAGTTATGTACTCTGTGTACCGAGAATTGCTCGATATTTCTTTCATTGATGCATTTGACTTTCATTGATTTAAACCTCCCCTCACATATCCAAACCCAAGAAAGAAGTAATTTGTTTAATTTTATGTCTTAATATTTTCAACAGGCACTGCATTAGCAGCTGTTTTCATCAATATTTCGGTTGAGAATTTTGCTGGATGGAAGTATTCTTTGACATTCAATATAATTCAGACATCGTATTTTGCTGGATTTTTGGTCTATTTGTCGATCAACTTGGCTCTAGTTTTATCTTCTGTATATATTATCACACATTTCGCACCAGCAGCAGCAGGATCAGGAATTCCTGAAATAAAGGGTTATTTAAATGGTAAGTCTAATTGGTGATGACCTTGTGAAAGTTGTTGGTTTTCTTTTGAAGTATCAGCTAATGTCCTTCTAAATTTGCAGGAATTGATACACATGGTATTCTTCTATTCAGAACGTTAGTAGGAAAGGTCTGGTGGCTCTTGTCTATAAGCTTTATGGATGTTTCTGTGATATTATTTGATTGTTATGTGAAGGCTTATCCTGTACTTGCTCCTCTTTTTAGATTTTTGGTAGCATAGGATCTGTCGGAGGTGGCTTAGCCCTTGGTAAAGAAGGTCCGCTTGTACATATTGGTGCTTGTATTGCTTCGTTGCTTGGACAAGTAAGTTTATAATTCTCAGAACATATATTTGTATGCATTTTTGTAGACTCATGTGTATGTTGAAGGATAAGTTGCAATTGAAGATGCTGTCCGGTCTCAGCTAAACTTTTATGTATAGACTGGCCAAATAAAATTTCGCATGTTACAAAAAATTACTTTGTATTGATAAGCAAAGTGTTTTTTGTTTCTATTCTGATGATTATGTTTCAACATATATCTGGATAATTGACCTTTTTATTTATTACTATAGGGTGGATCAACAAAATATCATTTGCGTACAAGATGGCTACAAATTTTTACAAGTGAGCGAGATCGTCGTGATCTTGTAAGTAATATGTTAAAAAATTAACGTGTCCTTTTTCCCGTTTGGTTGTTTCTTTGACGATTATAATTAAATTTTCTGGATTTTGTTGAAGCGACATATAAAAATTGATATGCAATATGTTCACCTCTTATATGGCTCATTCGGAGATATTGAAAATGGATGTACAGATTTTTTCATGAAAGAGGTGATAAGGCCTTAGGGGATTCCTCATTTTTATTGGTTTAATGTTTTGAACAAGGTTACATGTGGATGTGCAGCAGGCGTGGCTGCTGCTTTCAGAGCTCCAGTTGGTGGTGTATTGTTTGCACTCGAAGAAGTAACATCATGGTAATTGTTCCTCTCTCCTTAATTAAAAAAATATTTCGTAGCATCATCGTTGTATCATATGTTTGCAGATCATGCTTTAGATGTTTTTTTTTTGGTCATATGCGCTCCAGATCATGTGGAAGTGAAAAATAAAAGCTAAAACTGTATAGAATATATGATGATGCATTGAGATGCGTGCGTGGACAGATTTTTAACAATCTGAAGGTACACTTACCTGTATCAACTGAGTGCAATTGCTGCCTGAATTCTGTTATTTTCCTTGTTGTTTAAGGTGGAGGAGTCAGCTTATGTGGCGTGTATTTTTCACATCTGCCATTGTGGCTGTTGTTGTACGTACAGCAATGGGATGGTGTAAGAGTGGAAAGTGCGGACATTTCGGATCTGGAGGTTTCATTATATGGGATGTCTCAGGGTGACGATCTGAACTTTTTTGTGGGTCATGTAAATCTTTTTTTCTGAATCTAACGGCATTTATTACAAGTTCTTGTGCTCTCTAACAAAGAATCTTTTTAGTGGTCAAGAAGATTACTCATTTCAAGAGTTGTTGCCTATGGCAGTTATTGGCGTTATCGGGGGTCTTCTTGGTATGTTTGAATATACACAAAAGTACACAATTTCTAGAATGAAAGCTGTCGTAATAATTTGCATTAACGTGTTCTATTTTTGTGCAGGAGCACTTTTTAATCAGCTTACTTTTCTCATAGCTTACTGGCGTAGGAATTATTTGCACAAGAGAGGGAATCGTGTCAAGGTAAGTTTTTGAAGTGAGATAACAATAATGCTTTGCTTTTTTCGGTAAACTCCATATGACTTTTTTCTCCTCATACTGTAGGTTCTTGAAGTGTGTATTGTCTCGATAATAACCTCAGTTATTTCTTTTGGATTGCCACTTTTTAAAAGATGCACCCCTTGTCCGGAAGCAGATGCGAATTCTGGTATTGAATGTCCACGCCGTCCAGGGATGTATGGGAATTATGTAAATGTAAGATCTTTTTGGCTTTTCCTTATTTCTGTCTGGGGGAGTTTATGTGCAAATGTTGATGTACAGTTGTACACTGGAGCAAGACAAATGTTGAAGGAGGTATCAAAATCTCTGTTATGAAGTTCATAAAATCCAAAGAAGTTACAAAGGCACATCAGATTGTAACTTCTAATTCATTATTACGATGTTAAATCCAGCAAACATGCCTAATAATAATTGTAGGAGATCAAATCATCTATTTACCTTTATTCTTAAGGACAATATTTAATTTAATCTACTGCAAAATCTATACATTTGAAAACCAAATATGATTTGAAGAATATCAATCTGAGTTACAGGGTTAAGTTATGTTATTTGCTATGTTTATGCACATATGCTTCTTATTCCTCTGAAATAATTTTGTTAATTGTACTTTCTCTTTTATGTTCTTACAGTTCTATTGTGGTGACAAGGAATACAACGACCTTGCAACTTTATTCTTCAACACTCAGGTCAACAAAATATCCTTAATTTTTCTATGTTGGTTTTAATGTGGTCTTTGCTAATGCGTTTTACATATTTCTTTTGCAGGATGATGCCATCAGAAATTTGTTCAGTGCCAAAACAATTCATGAATTTAGTGCCCAAAGCCTGCTTACTTTTTTGGTATTTGATCTTTCTAATCGTTGTTTACTACAAGTGCCAATATTGTGTTCCTATACGTGCTGATAACTCTTATTTTTTTTATTTATCTCCTTTTTCAGGTTATGTTTTACTCATTAGCTGTAATCACTTTTGGCACTGCTGTTCCAGCGGGTCAATTTGTTCCTGGCATAATGATTGGCTCAACTTATGGGCGGCTTGTTGGCATATTTGTTGTCAGATTTTACAAGAAGCTGAATATTGAAGAAGGAACGTGAGTCCCCTTTACCATTCTTTTCTAAATTGTTAGTTGTTTTCTATTGCTCTGATAAGTCCGATAAATTTTGGAGCTACCTCTAGATGCAACTTTCTCGGGGAACAAGTATCACTTTTCAAATTACAAACGAGTTTAGCTATGTGAAAAATTGATAACCTGTTTTTCTATCCACCTCATCAGTTTTTAGGCATGTATTTTTTTATTCGTATATCAATTTACATGATACCATAAAATTATAATATTGTTGGATTTTAGGTATGCTCTTTTAGGGGCTGCATCCTTTCTTGGAGGCTCAATGCGGATGACTGTTTCACTTTGTGTAATCATGGTCGAGATAACAAATAACTTGAAGCTTCTGCCTCTTATCATGCTGGTTCTTCTAATATCAAAGGTATGATCCTTTTGAAACCTTTATTGCCGTGTATTACGAACTACCTAGTGAAGTTTGAAGTTCGCATTTCTGCCGGTCTGCCCCCACTGATTCTTTTCATGATTTTGGGGCCTGGTTTTAGACCTACATTTTTAATAAAGAAAAAAGCATATAGTATACATTTTTTTTTTGTGATTTTGCTCAACTAGTCAAAAATTAGTGAAATATATTTAGATGAACTATTTCTTGACTAATTATGAATTAACATCTTCATTTCTATATATTGTAGTTTTAAAAAATATTTAAAAATTATATGACCATTTCAGCTATTTTTAGCAGAAAAATGTGAGCTATAGTATACGATTTTTCGTGATTTTGCTTGATTTGTCAAAAATTAGTGAAACCAATTTTAGATGAACTATTTTTTTAGTAATTATGAATTAACATCTTCATTGATGTATATTTTAGTGCTAAAAACTAAAAAATATATATGACAGTTTCAGGTATTTTTAGCAAAAAAACGTGAGCTATAGTATTCAATTTTTCGTGATTTTGCTTGACTTGTCAAAAATTAGTGAAACCAATTTTAGATGAACTATTTTTTGAGTAATTATGAATTAACATCTCCATTGATGTATATTTTAGTGCTAAAAACTAAAAAAAAGAAATATATGACAATTTCAGGTATTTTTAGCAAAAAACGTGAGCTGTAGTATACAATTTTTCATGATTTTGCTTGACTTGTCAAAAATTAGTGAAACCAATTTTAGATTAACTATTTTTTGAGTAATTATGAATTAACATCTTCATTGATGTATATTTTAGTGCTAAATACTAAAAAAATGATATATGACAGTTTCAGGTATTTTTAGCAAAAAACGTGAGCTATATAGTATACAATTTTTCCTGATTTTGCTTGACTTGTCAAAAATTAGTGAACCCAATTTTAGATGAACTATTTTTTGAGTAATTATGAATTAACATCTTCATTGATGTATATTTTAGTGCGAAGAACTAAAAAAATATATGACAATTTCAGGTATTTTTAGCAAAAAACGTGAGCTATAGTATACAATTTTTCATGATTTTGCTTGACTTGTCAAAAATTAGTGAAACCAATTTTAGATGAACTATTTTTTGAGTAATTATGAATTAACATCTTCATTGATGTATATTTTAGTGCTAAAAATTAAAAAAAAAAATATATATATGACAATTTCAGGTATTTTTAGCAAAAAACGTGAGCTATAGTATACAATTTTTCGTGATTTTGCTTGACTTATCAAAAATTAGTGCAACCGATTTTATATGAACTATTTTTTGAGTAATTATGAATTAACATCGTCATTGATGTATATTTTAGTTCTAAAAACTAAAAAACTAAAAAAAATATATGACAATTTCAGGTATTTTTAGCAAAAAACGTGAGCTATAGTATACAATTTTTCGTGATTTTGCTTGACTTGTCAAAAATTAGTGAACCAATTTTAGATGACTATTTTTTGAGTAATTATGAATTAACATCGTCATTGATGTATATTTTAGTTCTCAAAACTATATATATATATATATATATATATATATATATATATATATATATATATATATGACATTTTAGTATT